CTGTCGGAGGGTCAGTGCTGAGGGAGTGCCGCACTGTCGGAGGGTCAGTGCTGAGGGAGTGGGCACTGTCAGAAGGTCAGTACTGAGGGAGCGCTGCACTGTCGGAGGGTCAGTGCTGAGGGAGTGGGCGCACTGTCGGAGGGTCAGTGCTGAAGGAGTGCCGCACTGTTGGAGGGTCAGTGCTGAGGGAGCGCCGCGCTGTCGGAGGGTCAGTACTGAGGGAGCGCCGCACTGTCAGAGGGTCAGTGCTGAGGGAATGGGCACTGTCGGAGGGTCAGTGTTTCAGATGTAACATTATACTGAGGTCCTCCGGTTTCTATGTCGGGCTGTGACCGTTTATGAAGAGCGGGGAGCTGTTCCTGGTCAACATGATGAGAAGGGGAATCTCTGACTTTTATCATTGTTGTTTGTGGGATCTTGCTGTGTGCAAATTGTCTGTCGTGTTTCCTCAGTCAAAACAGTGACATCTCTTCAAAAGTAATTAACTGCCTGTAAAGTTCTTAGGGACCTTCTCCAGTTGTGACGGGGTGATGTAAATGCAAGTCTTTTTACCTTTTCCACACAGTATTCCCAATGTTCTCCATGTTCCCGGGGGCAGGCAGATTCAGCCAAACCTTCTTATGCTTTATGCTGGAGAATTTTCTTGTTCAGCGATCAAAGCGTGTGTTTTCAGCCATTGGCCTGGCTCTTCTCCCTGTAATTACAGTGCACTGTTCCCACATTTCTGACCCCACATTCTCTGCTGAACTTCCCTTACCATCTCAATGTCTGATTGATCAGGAACACGCTGTTGGTTCTTGTTCGATCTGTTTCCATGCTGCATGACTCTATCAAACATCATGGCAGTGGGAGAATAAACATGATCACTTTACATTGTATATTTAGTATGTAAACACCATGGCTTGTTTTCAGCATTGATCATATAACTTCAAACACAAATGGAAAATGTGGGAAGAATGCAGCAGGTCTGGCAGCATCTCTGTGGAGACAGAGAGAGAGTGTGAACATTTTGAGGTGAAACCCTTTTGTCTGAACTGGGTAATTTTTGAGGTGGACAATTTGTCAATAGCTACAATATTGACTTGATAGAGGTGTACAAAATGATCAGAGGTATAGATAGAGTGGACAGCCAGAGACTTTATCCTAGGGTGGAGGTAGCTATTACGAGGGGACATAGTTTTAAAGTGAGTGGAGGTAGATATAGGGGAGACGTCAGAGGTAGGTTCTTTACTCAGAGATTGGTAGGGGCGTGGAATGCATTGCCGGAGAGGGTAGTGGAGTCGGCCTCATTAGGGGCATTTAAGCGGCTATTAGATAGGCATATGGATGATAGTATAAGGTAGGGGTGGAGGTTAGATAGACCTTAGGTTTAGGGTAAAGCTTCGGCACAACATTGTGGGCCGAAGGGCCTGTACTGTGCTGTACTGTTCTATGTTCTGTGTTCTACATTCTACGTTCTACGTTCTACGTTCTACAGGGGAAAGTGGTATGGGGAGAACAAAAGACAAGGAAAAGCCAAATCTCCAGATGATGGAGATTTGACACAAGCACAAAGAATGCTGGAGAAGCTCAGTATTTGTGAAGAGAGAAGCAGAGTTAACAATTTGAGTTTGGTATGACTCCTCTCTCTCCAACACGCTGCCAGACCTGCTGAGTTTCTCCAGCATTCTCTGTGTTTGAACAAAGGAGACGGTCTGTGATAGAGGGGAGGCACAAGAGATTGTATGACAACGAGAGGATAGTAACAGAAGAAGCAAAGAAAGAGATTCAACTCTGGGACAGGTGTAAATAGCTCAGGCACATGGAGAGAGGGACACTGAAGCAGTATCTCGGGTGAAAAGACCCCAATTGCCCAGGAGTGTGGTAGAGAAAGATTGGGAGCTTTAAGGGGTGACAGATCACTCACCTGATGTGGATCAAAACCGAATTCCCAAACATTTACTCCAGGAGCAGTACCATTCAGGCCATTCAGCCCCTCGAGCCAGCTCTGGCATTCAACAGGACAACATTGCCTTGACCTCGCTTTCCCACCAATATTCTTTGGTTCCTTTGTTACTCAAAAATCCATTACCTTTACCTTAAAACTATCAAATAACATTCCTCCTCCACTCTCTTTGGCAAGGGATTTTCAAAGGTTCATCAGTCTCAGGGAGACTCCTTATTTGTAAAGGATTATCACTTGGTTCCAGTCTCTCCCGCAACGGGAAACATCACCTCAGCATCCCCTGAGGATCTTCAATGGGACAGTCCCCATCACTGGGCTAGGAATCCAGGACTCCAGAATAATGATCTGGATTTGAATCACACCACAGTAGATGGTGACATCTGAATTCAATAAAATAAAAATTTGGAATAAAAAGCTAGCCTCAGGGTGAACATTTAACAATTATTATACAAACCCTTTTGATACTCCACCACCCCTTTGCAGAGGGAAATCTGCCTCCCTTACCTGGTCTGGCCAACATGTGACTCCAGACCCACAACAATGAGGGGGGAAGGGTATCGAAATGAACAGAAAACTTGTTGGCAGAGAGGAAACAAAGAGTAGGAATTGGTGGCTCCTTTTCAAATTGGCAGGCAGTAACTAGTGGGATGCCACAGGGATTGGTGCTGGGACCCCAGCTATTCACAATATATATTAATGATTTGGATGAGGGAACAAAATGTAACATCTCAAAGTTTGCAGATGATACCAAGTTGGGTCGGTGGGTGAACTGCGACAAGGATGCAGTGATCCTTCAGTATGACCTCGTCAGGTTGGGTGATTCGGTAAATCAATGGTAGATGCAGCATTATTTGGATAAATGCGAGGTTTTTCACTTTGGAAGCAAAAACAAGAAGGCAGATTACTACCTGAATGGCTGTAAATTGGGAGAGGGGAATGTGCAGCGGGACCTGGGTGTCCTTGTGCACCAGTCGCTGAAGGTAAGCATGCAGGTGCAGCAGGCGGTAGAAGGTAAATGGTATGTTGGCCTTCATTGCGAGAGGTTTCGAGTACAGGAGCAGGGATGTGTTGTTGCAGTTATACAGGGCCTTGGTGAGACCACATCTGGAATATTGTGTGCAGTTTTGGTCTCCTTTTCTGAGGAATGATGTTCTTACTCTCAAAGGAGTGCAGCGAAGGTTTACCAGGCTGATTCTGGGGATGGTGGGTCTGACGTATGAGGAGAGATTGACTGGGTTAGGGTTGTTTTCACAAGAGTTCAGAGGAATGAGGGGGGATCTCATAGAGACTTATAAAATTCTAACAGGACTGGACAGGGTAGATGCAGGGAGGATGTTCCCGATGGTGGGTGTGTCCAGAACCAGGGGTCATGGTCTGAGGATTCGGGGTAGACCATTTAGGATGGAGACGAGGAGACATTTCTTCACCCAAAGAGTGGTGAGCCACAGGAAGTAGTTGAAGCCAAAACACTGAATGTATTCAAGAGGCGGCTAGATATAGCACTTGGGGCAAATGGAATCAAAGGTTATGGGGGGAAAGCAGGGTTAGGCTATTGAGTTGGACAATCAGCCGTGATCATGAAGAATGGCGGAGCAGGCTTGAAGGGCCAAATGGCCTCCTCCTGCACCTACCTTCTGCGTTTCTATGATTCTTAACTGCCCTCTGGGCAATTAGGGATGGGCGATAAACGCTGGTCTGGCCAGTAACACTCACACCCTGTGAATGAATAAAGAAGAACATAAGATCACCCCTCATTCATTTCAACTCCTAATGATTAAAGCCCTAACCTGCTTAGCCATTTCTTATCAGTCAGGTCCCCATCCCAGGAATCAGCCAAGTGAACTGCCTCCAATATCAGTGTATCCTCTTTTAAAAAGAGGGACCAAAACTGCCCCATAATCCAGCTGCAGCCTCATCAATGTAATTATAACAAGACTTGTCTGTTTTTAAATTCCAAACACACAGTGATCAAGACCAAAATCCATCTGCTTTCTTCATTACCTGCTGTACCAACATGTAGACTTTGTGTTTCATACACACAAACTCCCAGATCCCACTGCACTGCACCTTTTTTTAGAGTCTTTCACCATTAAATAACGGGCTGTGTTTTGATGCTTCCTCATACTTCACACTTTCCTGCGTTACACTCCATCAGCTGAGTTTTAGGCCAGTTACTCAACCTATCAATATCCCATTGCAATCCCCAATGTCTTTGTCATCACAACATGCCCTCCCACCTGTTTTTGTATGAAATTTGGAGAATCACATTCTGCCTCTCTTTCATGTGACTAATATAGATTGTAAATAATTGATACCTGTGAGTTTGGGAATATTTTGACCAATGTCTCCACGATCCCTGCAGCCACTTCCTTTAAAACTTTTAGATGCAGACCATCAGATCCTGGGGACTTTAGTCCCATCAGTTTGTCAAATACTTTGTTCCTCATGATGCAGACTGTTACAAGATCCTTCCTCCCATTTGCACCTCACTGATCTGTTATCTTTGGAATGTTTATTGTGTCCCCGCACCATGGAAGATGTTAGCTCAGACAATGTAGAATCTGTGTGGGTAGAATTGAGAAATATCAAGGGGCAAAAAAGATTAGTGGGGGTGGTATATGATGAGGTTGGGAACAGTATTAAACAGGAAATCAGAGATGCATCCAGTAAAGGACTATCTGTAATTATGGGTGACTTTAATCTACATATAGATTGGCCGAACTGAATTAGCCACAATACTGTAGGGGAGGAATTCCTCGAATGGAAACAGAATGGTTTTTTGGACTAATACATTGAGGAATTAACTAGAGAACAGGCCGTCCTAGACTGTGAGTGAGAAAGGAATAATTGGTAATGTAGTTGTGAGGGATCCCTTGGGGAAGAGCGATCATAATATGATAGAACTCTTCATCAAGATGGAGAATGAGATCATTGATTCTGAGACTGGAGTCCTGAATCTTTATAAGGGAAACTACGATGTATGAGACGTGAGTTGGCTGTGATAGATTGGGAAGTGTTACTGAAAGGAATGACAGGGATAGAATAATAGCAAACATGTTTATTCCTGTCTGGTGCAAGAGTGCAAAGAGAACATTGACCGAACCATAGCTTACGAGGGAACTTAGAGATAGTATTAGATGTAGAAAAAGAGGCATATAAATTAACAAGAAAAAACAACAGACCTAAGGATTGGGAACAGTTTGTAAATCAGCAAAGGAGGACCAAGGGATTGATTAAGAAGGGAAAATGGAGTATGAGAGTAAGTTTACAGGGAACACAAGAACCGACTGTAAAAGTTTCTATCAGTATGTCAAGTAAAACAAAAATTGGTGAAAGCTAATGTTATGTCCCTTACAGTCAGAAACAGGGAATTTATAATGGGAGAACAAAGAAATGGCTGATGAACCAAATTCTTACTTTGCTTCTGTCTTCACAAAGGAGGACAAGAATAACATCCCAGAAATGATGGGAAACATGGGGTTTACTGAGAGGGAGGAACTGGAACCAATCTGTATTAGTAGAGAAACGGTGCTGGAGAAATTGATGGGAGTGAAGGCTGATAAATCCCCAAAGCCAGAAAATCTACATCCCAGAGTATTTAAGGAAATAGCCCTAGAAATGGTGGATATATTGGTGGTCATCTTCCAGGATTCTATACACTCTGGAACAGTTCCTACAGATTGGAGAGAAGCTAATAAGGTCAATATTTTAAAAAGGAGGTAGAGAGAAATAGGGAATTGTAGACCAGTGAGTCTGATGTTGGTAGTGGGGAAGATGTTAGAGTCCATTATCAAGGATTTTATAGCAGAGCACTTGGAAAACACTTGGTAGAGTCAGACACAGTCAGCATGGATTTACAAAAGGGAAATCATGCTTGATAAATCTACTGGAATTCTTCGAGGGGGGGCCCGTGGAAGTGGTTTATTTGGACTTCGAGAAGGCTTTCGACAAAGTCCTACATAAAAGATGAATGTGGAAAATTAAAGCACAGTGATTGCGGCTAGTTTATTGAGACTGGTGGAAAACTAGTTCGCAGACAAGGAATAAATGGGTCTTTATCAGAATGGCAGGCAGTGACTAATGGAGTACTTCAGGAATTGCAGCTATTCACAATATATGTTAATGATTTAGATGAGTGAACTAAATGTAATATTTCCAAATTTGGAGAGTGAGCTGTGAGGAGGATGCAGAGATGCTTCACTGTGATTTGGACAGGCTGAGTGAGAGGGCAGGTATATGACAGATACAGTGTAATGTGGATAAATCTGAGGTTCTCCACTTTGGGAGTAAGAACAGAAAGGCAGATTATTATTTGAATGGCTGTAAATAGACAGAGGGGAATGTTCAACAAGACCTGGGTGTCCTCGTGCACCAGTCACCGAAAGTACTCGTTGTTTATGGATGCTGGGAGCAGGGGCTGTGATTATTGTGGTGTATGCTCTGAATGCCCACAGGGTAACGGATGCTGTTCTAACCCTCCCAACCCCAACTCCACTCCCACCCCTCCCAGGTCCCCCAGCACCCCCTCAGGACGTCACGGTCCAGGTCGGATCAACCCCAGGAACCATTCAGATCAGCTGGAAGCCGCCATTGCTGAGTTTATCAGGAACGTCAAATGGAGCCAAGGTTACTGGCTACAGTGTTTGTGCTAAAGGTCAAAAGGTAACTAGCCAATAAACAGGTTGGGGGGGCTTCAGTTTTAATAAATCTGTAATGTCCTGGTACCAAATATTCAATCAATCATGTCAGACTCATTCAATCTAGCGCTCCAATATTAAATTTCTGGGTGGGATGCTGTTTGGAGGGGCAGTGTGGACTCGATGGGCTGAATGGCCTGCTTTCACACTCTAAGGATTCTATGAAATAGCTTTTTATTGTTTCACTGGCTGCTCTCTCCCTCTCTCTCGGTGCAGTTTTAGGACATTTGTCATTGTCTAGCCCAAGGTATTTGAACGCTTTGTCAATGTCACAATAACTCAGATCATTGTCCCCTCACCAAAGTTCAGCTTGGAGCCAAGTTGGTGAGTGACATGCCTCATTGTAGAGAAACAGACCATTCAGCCCACCTGCTGGATGCTGTTACATATGCTTCCCACAAACTCCCCCCTCCCCCCACGGGGCTCTCTGATCCCACTCCCTGATGTAGCCTCCAGTTCTGGTCCAGAAACTCCTTATACCAACAGTGCCCACAGCCTCGAGACAGGGTGGGATCAGTTCCAGGTTGGAATCTACAATCAGAGCACAGCCAGTGAACAATCCAACCGGACCTGATCCCATTCCAACCCACCAAGTTCTCCGAACCTGCTCCCCTCCCCCCAAGGCAGAGCACCCCCTACTCCTCCCCACCCCAACCCAGCTCCACACCTTCCTTCTCCCAACGCACCCAGTCCCACCTGCAGCAAGGTCCCAGCAGGGGCACGTGTGGAACATGCACCCCCGCCCACCGCACGGGATTGAAGCTGGTTTCGGAGATCCCTCGAACCAACTGATCCCTGATCTCCTGGATCCAGAAACAAATTGCTGGAGAAACTCATATGGGATGTGAAAAGTTGCTGAGTTTCTCCAGCGATTTCACTTCATTTCAATGTTCCCAGTAACAGCTGTGATCTGACCCTCTGTACGGTGTGGTCTCTGTCCCAGCAAGAAGGCAGTCCCAGCTCCCTCCTGAAACTCCCAGCACGTCAGCAGGCCCTACATTCCCAGTGCTGGGATCCAGCCGGAGGTGCGGAATACTCCAGCAGTCAGTCTATTCCCGCTCCAACACACTTCACTGTTTCCTGATCCTACCCAGTGTGTAAAAGCAGAATTTTCCACAGGGACAACATCCAGGCCCTTCCTTGTGAAGTCAGTCTCTGATGATCTTGGGCTTATCCTGGAGCAGGTCTTAAACTTTCTTCCTTTAAGCTCCGGAATTCCAGCCCCAAGCCTCCCACCTTCTCTCTCTCTCTGTTCGCTCCTTCAGAACTTCCCTAATTAGCTGTGTTGTTACTGATTGCCCTGGGATATTGAGAATGGTTTAGAGCTGGCATGTGTGAAGCTGCTGGAGTGTGATACAGGGTTAAAGGGGCTGAGTTGATGTGTCTGTTGTGGTTTCTTTCAGGTTGCAGAAGTGATGCTGGCCACAGCCAATGGTGTGACTGTTGACTATTTACGAATACAGAACCTGGAAACGAGGGAGATTATCGTACGGACTATATCTGCCCAGGGCGAGTCTGAGGACTCATTCGCTGCTGCTATCCCAACCGAACTCCTGGTGCCTCCAACACCCCCGTTCCGTGCTGCTCCCAGAACCAAGCCATTAGCAAGTGCCAGAGCTCCCGATACCAAAGACCAAGTGATAGGCCCAGGCCTGAGAAGGGATGAACCTTGGGAGCAAACGCATTCTCCGTCTCCTCTCCACGGCAGCTCTTTGGAGCCTTCGCTGCTGAACCATCAGGGCCGGCCTGTCAACAGGACTGGCAGATCTCCCTCTCCACAGAGAATCCTACCACAGCCCCAGGGAGCACCCATCTCGAACACCATCGCTAAAGCCATAGCCCGCGAAGCAGCCCAGCAAGCGGTGGATATTAGCAGGGTAATCTCCTCAGCTCCTCACTGCTCATGCACCAACTCCTTCCCATCGCTCGGCTCTCCCCGCAACTTGGAGTCAGGCACATTGCTACCGGGGATCAGCTGTAGGACGGAGGTGGGGGGGCGTTGTGGGGAATACCTCTCTGTCATTCCCCCAACAGAGGCAAGGGGGTGGAAAGCTGGCAGACCCCTATCCCACTTCTCCCCCTCACCCTCCCCCTTCACTCCCCCATTCTGTCCCCACCTTCCACATGCCCCCACAATCCCCTCCCCACTTCCTCTCAGTTCTGCCCTTATGTCCCCTACGTGCCTCCTAACCCATTCCTGCTGCTGTATAAACCCATAATGTATTGGATTCCTCAATGTCAAATGCCCAGAAACCTCTCGATTCTTCTCCCAGCCACTGGTCTCAGGAGCGTTTCCGTTCCTGAGCAGTGCCCTTTTTATTATCATTTCTCTGAGCCTTTTGTTTAAGGTCATGAGTGATTTAAAGATGGTCCTTTCAGGTGCAGAATTGGAGGTTCTCTGGTTAGTCAGACATTTGTGAAGCCAGTACCACCAAAAATATCAAGGAATAGGTAAACTGATGTCAGACAAACTGATCATGAGGCTGATGGAATCTTGTAATACCCCGTCTGGGTCACTGATGCCCTGTCTGGGTCACTGGTGCCCTGTCTGGGTCACTGATACCCTGTCTGGGTCACTGGTGCCCTGTCTGGGTCACTGATACCCCGTCTGGGTCACTGATACCCCGTCTGGGTCACTGATGCCCTGTCTGGGTCACTGGTGCCCTGTCTGGGTCACTGCTATCCCGTCTGGGTCACTGATGCCCCGTCTGGGTCACTGATACCCTGTCAGGGTCACTGATGCGCCGTCTGGGTCACTGATACCCTGTCTAGGTGACTGATACTCTGTATGGGTCACTGATGCCCCACCTGGGTCACTGATGCCCTGTCTGGGTCACTGATGCCCTTTCAGGGGGGAAATCTGCTGTCTTTATCCCATCTGGCCTCCACATGACTCCAGCCCTACATTGATGTGATTGGCTCTCACTGCCGTGTGAAATAACTGGGTGGGTCACTCACTGACCAAAGCCAGTGCCACAAGAAATGGGCAGCGACAACTGGCCTTACCAGCAATGAACGGTCTAAGAATTAATAGCTTCTGAAACAAAACAGTAGTTTGATTTGCAGAGTTTCACATCTAGAATCAGTGAATTGCTATAGCAGAGAGAGGCCATTCAGCCCATTGTGTTTGTGCCATCCCTCCAAGTGAGCTGTGTTCACTTTGTGTTGTGTTCATTCCTACTTTATAGATAATGATCCAGTTCCCTCTGACTGCCCTATCGAAATCTGTCTCCATCACCTTCTCTGGCAGTTTATTCCTCGCTGCCTGAAAGGTTTACCAAAACCCTCTATGCCCTCTGGATCTCAATCCTCTGACCAATGAGAACAGTTTCTCCGTCTTTGCTCTGTCCAATACCCACAGGAGTTGGAAATTGATTAATTCCCCTCTCAGACTTCTCTTGTCAAACATCTCCAATATCTCCACATCATCGCAGTTCCTCACCCCAAGGACCACTCTCATGAGTCTTTCCTGCTCTCTCTTCATTAATATCCTTTTGCTGACAAAAGATGTGTTATGTTGTAGTTAGAGAGTACCTGTGAGGATGGTCAGTCTCCACTCGGGACTCTGCCCACTCTCCAATCGACACATGGACTTCTATCCCCAGGGTCAGTCCCAATGCCCACCTGCACCTAGCCAGCACACCTCTCCCTCTTCATCTGTCCACCCCCGCAATACACCCTACCCCCTCCACCTCTCCTCACTCCTCTCCATTTCATTCAACCCGTACCCCTCCCCCCATCCAATCCTCCATCCTATTCCCCAGGGCACTACCCTCCCACCCTCCTTCCCCTTCCACAACTACTCCCCACCACACCCCACCAAACCACCTCCAACCCTCACCCATCACATGCTATCACCCTCAGCCACCCTCGGCCTCCTCCAGTGTCACAGCAACTCGGAACGCAAATTTGAAGACTAACACCTTACCTTCTGCCTGGGTACCCTACAGCCTGGAGGACTCAACAATGAGTTTTCCAAATTCAAATAACCTTCCCACCCATCCCCCAGCTCCCTTTCCAGCCCATTCCACCTTCTGACCCTCCCTTCTAGCCACCAGCTGCATTCATCCCTCCTGTTGACCAACCAGGTCGTACCTACCACCAGTACCCACCTACCACCACCATTCCTCCTCCACCCCTTCCCCCTCTTTATCTGCATCTCCCCCTACCCCCACATCCAGCCCTGAAGAACGGTGATACCCAAAACGTCGACTGCTCCCTTCCTCCAGATGCTACCTGGCCTGCTGAGTTCTTCCAGCCTCCTGTTTGTCTACCAATCTTCCTATTTGATAAAAATCTACTATCCAGTTCAGTTCAGGTACATTCCTGACATCACTGAAAGGCCAGCTTTATTGTCCATCACTAATTATCATTCCGCCTCGAACACTTAGAGTCATAGAGCTGTACAACATGAAAACGCACCCTTCAGTCCAACTCATCCATTCCAACCAGATATCCTAAATTAATCCAATCCCATTTGCCAGCATTTGGCCCATATCTCTCTAAACCCTTCCTATTCATATACCCATCCAGATGCTTTTTAAATGTTGTAATTGTACCAGCCTCCACCACTTCCTCTGGCAGTTCATTCCATACACGCACCACCCTCTGTGTGAAAAAATTGCCCCTCAGGTCCTTTTTAAATCTTGCCCCTCTCACCTTAAACCTATGCCCGTCTAATTTTGGACTCCCCCAGCCTAGGGAAAAGACTTTGTCTATTTACCCTATCCATGGCCCTCATGATTTTATAAACTTCTACAAGGTCACCTCTCAGCTTCTGATGCTCCAGGGAAAATAGCCCCAGTCTATTCAGCCTCTCCCTATAGCTCAAACCCTCCAACCCTGGCAACAATTTCGTAAATATTTTCTGAACCCTTTCAAGTTTCACAACGTCCTTCCTATAGCAGGGAGATCGGAATTGCGCACAGTATTCCAATAGTGGCCTAACTAATGTCCTGTACAGCTGTAACATGACCTCCCATCTCCTATACTCAATGCACTGACCAATACAGGCAAGCGTACCAAACACCTCAATAAAAACCAAAAGAACTACAGATGCTATAAATCAGGAACAAAATCAGAAGTTGCTGGAAAAGCTCAGCAGGTCTGGCAGCATCTGTGAAGGAAAAAACAGAGTTAACGTTTCGGGTCCGGTGACCCTTCCTCAGAAGCAAACGACTTCTTCACTATCCTATCCACCTGCAACTCCACTTTCAAGGAACAACGAACCTGCAATGCAAGATCTGTTTGTTCAGCAACACTCCCCAGGACCTGAATATTAAATGTATAATTCCTGCCCTGATTTGCCTTTCCAAAATGAAGCACCTCACATTTATCTAAATTAACTTCCAGCTACCACTCCTCGTACCATAGGCCCATCTGATCAAGGCCCCGTTGTACTCTGAGGTAACTTTCTTCGCTGTCCACTACACCTCCAATTTGGTGACATCTGCAAACTTACTAACCATACCTCCTATGTTCACATCTAAATCATTTATATAAATGACAAAAAACAGTGGACCCAGCACCGATCCTTATGGCACATCACTGGTCACAGGTCTCCAGTCTGAAAAACAACCCTCCACCACCACCCTCTGTCTTCTACCTTCGAGCCAGTTCTGTATCCAAATGGCTAGTTCTCCCTGTATTCCATGAGATCTAACCTTGCTAACCAGTCTACCATGAGGAACCTTGTCGAACACCTTTTTGAAGTCCATATAGATCACGTTCACTGCTCTGCCCTCATCAATCCTCTTCGTTATTTCTTCAAAACACTCAATCAAGTTAGTGAGCCACAATTTTCCACGCACAAAGCCATGTTGACTTTCCCTAATCGGTCCTTGCCTTTCCAAATACATACAAGTCTTATCCCTCAGGATTCCCTCCAACAACTTGCCCACCACCGATGTCAGGCTCACTGGTCTATAGTTCCCTGGTTTTTCCTTACCACCTTTCTTAAATAGTGGCACCACATTAGCCAACCTCCAGTCTTCCGGCACCTTGCCTGCAGCTATCGATGATACAAATATCTCAGCAAGGGGCCCAGCGACAATTTCCCTGGCTTCGCACAGAGTTCTAGGGTACACCTGATCAGTGCCTGGGGATTTATCCACCTTCGTGCGTTTTAAGCTGTCCAGCACCTCCTCTTCTGTAATATGGACATTGTTCAAGGTGTCGCTATTTATTTCCCCACATTCTCTACCTTCTATATCCTTCTCCACAGGGAAAACTGACACAAAATACTCGTTTAGTATTTCCCCTGTCTCCTGAGGTTCCACACATAGGCAGCCTCGCCGATCTTTAAGGGGCCCTATTCTCTCCCGAGTTACTCTTTTGTCCTTAATGTATTTATAGAATCCCTTTGGATTTTCCTTAACCCTATTTGCCAAAACTATCTCATGTACCCTTTTTGCCCTCCTGATTTCCCCCTTAAGTATACTCCTACTGCTTTTATACTCTTCTAGGGATTCACTCGATTTCTACTGTCTATACCTGACATATGCTTCCTTCTTATTTTTGACCAAAACTCAATTTCTCTCATCATCCAGCATTCCCTACACCTACCAGCCTTGCCCTTCACCTTAACAGGACTCTCTGGACTCCCATTATTTCATTTCTGAAGGCTTCCCATTTCCAGTCAGCCCTTTACCTGCGAACATCCTCCTCCAATCAACTTTTGAAAGTTCTTGCCTAATACCATCAAAATTTGTGAAAAAACAGAAAGCATTTAAAGTGTCAGTTGTTCAGAGAGAGGAACACAGCTAAGAAAGAATGGTCATCACTTTCACCCATTAACTCAGTTTTTTCACTCCCCCAGACTGGGTTTGATCATATGTCACTCAATACTGATCTGCTCATTGTTTTCAGGCTGAGAAACGCAGTCTGTTCAGCGAGAGAAGCCAATCTTCACACCAGGAAAATTCTGATGATGAAGACGATGTTTACGATGGACAAATCCTCAAAAGGCCCGGTGCTTCAGTAGATGATTTCCTGAGAGGCTCGGAGCTGGGCAGACAGGTAGGAATTGAGCAACGCCTGCTACAGGTCCAGGTTCAAACTGCTCTCTCTATCAGTGAAAGTCTTCACAGTTAGACACTACACTTTATCTAACTAGGTTTCTGGTCTGAGGAAGTTCCAGAAATTACAAAAAAGTTTTGGTTCCAAATCTCATCAAGCAAATGAGAGTGTGTGAACACGTTCATTATGATTAACTTGCAAATAGGTCAGTGAGTTCAGCGGTGTAATAAAAACAGCAACAGTGATGAAAAGTCACATTAATAGTGCTCTGAGGTGGCTCTTATTCACCAACACTGAGTACCAACACAGTCACTCAGCTCCTGACCTCATTCCAGCCTTGGTTCAAACATGGGCAAAAGAGCTAAACTTCAGAGGTGAGGTGAGAGTGACAGCCCTTGTCATCAAGGCTGCATTCAAATGGGGGAGACAATGGCCTAGTGGTATTATTGCTGGACTGCTAATCCAGAGACCAAGACAACATTCTAGGTTCGAATCCCACCACAGCAGATGGTGGAATTTGAATTCAATAAATATCTGGAATTAAGAATCTAATGATGACTGTGAATCTATTGTCAATTGTCAGGAAAAACCCATCTGGTTCACTAATGTCCTTTAAAGAAGGAAACTGCCTTCCTTACCTGGTCTGGCCTACATGTGACTCCAGACCCACAGCAATGTGGTTGACTCTCAACTGCCCTCTGGGCAATTAGGGATGGGCGATAAATGCTGCCTGGCCAGTGATGCCCTCATCCTGTGAATTAAACAAAAAGTGTGGCATCAAGGAGCCGTGGCAAAACTGGAATCAGTGGGTATCAGGGGGCAAACTCTTTGCTGGTTGGAGTCATACCTGGCACATTGGAAGATGGTCGTGGTTGTTGGAGGTCAGGCATCCCAGCTGCAGGACATCTCTGCAGGAGTTCCTCAGGGTAGTGTCTTCGGCTCAACCATCTTCAGCTGCTTCATCAATGACCTCTATCATAAGGTCAGAAGTGGGGATGTGCACAGTGTTCTGACCATATGTCCTGCTTCCTCAAAATCCATGCACCATCTACAAGGCACAAGTCAGGAGTGTGATGGAATACTCCCCACTTGCCTGGATGGGTGTAGCCCAGCAACACTCAAGAAGCTCAACACTATCCAGGACAAAGCAGCCGCTTGATTGGTACTACATCCGCAAGCATCCACTCCCTCCACCACCGACGCTCCGTAACAGCAGTGTGTACTATCTACAAGATGCGCTGCAGAAATTCACCAAAGATCCTCAGACAGCACCTTCCAAACCCACGACCACTTCCATCTAGAAGGACAAGGACAGTAGATACATGGGAACACCACCTCCTGCAAGTTTCCTTCCAAGCCACTCACCATCCTGACTTGGAAATATATCGCCGTTCCTTCAGTGTCACTGGGTCAAAATCCTGGAATTCTCTCCCTAAGGGTATTGTGGATCATCCTAGAGCATATGAACTGCAGCGGTTCAAGAAGGCAGCTCACCCCACCTTCTCAAGGAGCAACTAGGGACAGACAATAAATGCTGGGCCCAGCGATAACCCACATCCTGTGAGTGAATAAAATGAATTTTGGATTACAAATCTCTGGAACCTGCTGATTGGTTTTAAACCCTGATAACCCAAGGAAGAGCACTAGCTGAACAGAGAAATGTTGGATTGGAAAGAGAAAGGAAATAAAAGACTATGCTTTGATGCCTGATATAAACAGGACACTGAGGGCCTGCTGCAGGCACATTAATAGTCAGAGGTTTGTTTGAGGATGATTAGGGACCAAAACAGACATTTATTGGTGGAGGCAGACAACATGACTGAGGTCCCCTTGGTGCATTTTACCAAGGATGATTCTCAGTGACAGTAAACAGGGAGGTTGCCAGGAGATTGGCTGAGATGAAAAATAGGTAATGGGGAGGGACTTCAGGAATGAACCCCCAGGAATGGATGGGATGTAGCCCAGGTCAAGGGAAACAGCGGTGGGAATTGTTGAGGCCTTGGCCAGGAGCTTCCACAACTCCTCAGGCCCAGGGCTCATGCAGAGAGCTGGAGAAATACAAATGTTACATGTTGTTCAGGAAAGGGGGAAAGGGACTGGGAGTTATAGGCCAGTCACTTTAACATGAGGCAGTGAGGAAGCTTTCAGAAACAATAATGAGAAGAAAGCGACCAGCCATAAGAGGAGACCAGCCTGGTAACAGAGAGATGGCATAGGGTTCGTAGAATCATTGAATCCCTACTGTTTGGAAGCAGGCCCTTCGGCCCATCGAGTGCACGCCAACCCTCCAAAGAGCATCTATGTTGTTAAGAATAAATAGTGTTTGATTAAGTGACATCAAGTTGAAGTCTGACAAACATACAAATGAAGATAGGAATTGGGAGCAGTCACCCTTCAGACCTGCTCCACCTTCAGTAAGATCTCGGCTGATCTGTTTATGTACCGAATCACAGACTCCCTTCTCCCCCAATTAACACTCGATTTCCAACCTCCCCTGGTCAACAAGAACCCACCTGCCTGCATGTTAAAAATACTCACTGACCCCACCTCCACCACTTTCAGAGCCAGAGAATTCCAAAGTTCCACAACACTCAAAGAGAAAAGAATTCCCCTCATCTCTCTCTTTAAAGGGTGATCCCTAAATTTACCTACAAGAGGAAACATCTTTTCCATCTCCACTTCATTCAGGATCTTATTCACTTCAATACTGTCACCCCTTTACTCTTCTAAACTCCAGGCTGAGCAAGCCCAGTCTGTCCAAACTGTCCTCATAAAACAACCCACTCTACTCGTTATATCCTGTCAATCAGACAAAGACCCATTTCTGCAGACTCTCTGTTTTCTGCTAGCCAGCCAATCCTCTCTCCAAATTAATATGTTACCCCCACACTGTGATCTCCTACTTTTCACAATAATCTTTGATGTGGCACCTTGTCAAATACCTTCTGGAAATCCAAGCACAGTACATCAATGGGCTCCCCTTTATCCACAGCACAGAATCCTTCTTCAAATAATTCCAATAAATTGGTTAAACAAGATTTCCCTTTCACAAAACCAAGCTGAATCCTCCTGATTGTCTTGAATTTTTCTAAATGTCCAGGTGTGACCTCTTTAATGTCTGATTGTGACCCCTTCCCCAGGCCCGATATCACCTAAACTGAGCGACAGTTTACTGCCTCTCTCCCCTCTTCGATAGAGGGTTACATTTGCTACTTGCCAATCCAACAGAATATTTCCAGTGTGGAGTGAAATTTGGGAAATGAACAAAAAGCCATCTGTGACCTCACTGACCCCTTCCTTTAAGACCCAAGGATGTAGTCAGTCAGAAACCAATGGCTTATTAACCCTCATCTCTCCACTGGGAAAGTTTACAAGTCCATTATTCAGGAAGTAGTAACAGGCTGTTTATAAAATCATCATGCAATCGGGCAGAGTTCACAGGGCTTTGTGAAAGGGATAAGATTGTGATAAATATGTTAAGCAGTTTGTAAAAGCTGAGGGACAGAAGCCCCATTGGCACCAGATTAGCCACCCCCAGCAGGTCAGAGGTCAGGGTGACAGCCTTCCTCTGGGTCTTTCAGCTGTTCCACCAACATTCCTTCTCGGGGAGGCCAGGGTGAACAATCTTCCCCCATCCCTGCTGTAGCCCACACGGATTTTCCTCCTGATCCTATCGTTTCAGCATTGGGATTTTGAAGTGTTTAAAGTCTTTGTCCTTATTTAAGGATGTGTTGAACTCACGGTGGGATCATTCTTATATTCAACCGCCTGATGTAATTGGCTGGAGCTCTACCTGGATACATCCTCACTCTTCCTTCATGCCACCCAATCACCATGGAGATGAGGCAGGGTTTGTAAAAGAAGCAAAGTCAGTTTCAAACAGGAACTAAAGCTTGCTTTTGATTGGTGGCTGTGGTCTGGATATCCCTGCAGTATTAGTATGTGATAAAGCAGGCCATTGGGACACAGTGTCCATTCACTCCCACATTGTAACACAGACTCTGCAAAGACCATTCACTGGGTAATCTGCTCCAGGGCAAGTTTACCTTTTGCATTTTCTTTGTGTCAACAGCAACATTTTGGCCATCAAGACGATTACCAGACAGAGAGCAGCCGGGGTTCAGATTTATCGGATATCCTGGAGGAAGACGAAGAGGAGCTTTATTCCGAAATGCAGCATGAGGAAGGGGGTAGGAGGAGGCACAGTGCAACTTCACATAATGCACTGAAGGTAAGACACATTCTATATGCAGAGACACACTGCACTGCACTGCACAGCACTGCCAGAAACACAGGAGTGAAACAACTCAGGCTGGTTCTGAGTTAATACTCTCTCTGTCCTCCTTCCTTAAATATTGCCATGTCCTCAGTTACTGAATCTTTGGTGTTTTGTTTTCTGAGTTTCAGGAAACACGTTGTGGAGTCATAAAGTTGAACCTGCCTCACTATTCTCCTTCACCATCTCATGGTACCAGCTCCCTCCATGAGGCGTGGTTCTGCTGTTGGTGTTTTACCAGGATGCTTGACCCTCCCAGGGTTGCGAACTAGATAGGAGTTTACAGTTGACTTGGAGAGTGCTGGCTCAGTAAGGAATGTGGATGGGCGTATTATATTGATCAGTTCAGAGAGTGGACACTTGGAGTCCATCTTGGCTGAGATTAAGCTGCGCCAAATGACAGGGCTAATCCCCGGATGTGATCCAAGATCCCATTAGAACCATCACCAAAAAGGAATGATGAGGTCAAAGACACATTCCAAAGCTTAACAGAGTGATTATCTTAATAATGAGGGGTCTGGAATATAAAGTGGTGTTGTTTTGTTGCAGTTATACCAGGAGGTAGACACACTAGCCAAACAACATCACCAAATTTGTAATCCAGAGACTAATGTTCTGCAGACATAGGTTCAAATCTCACCACGGCAACTGGTGGGATTTTAATTCAATTAATTAACCTGGAGTTGAAAATTGTCCTCAGTGATGGTGACTACAAAATGATCATCCATTGTCGGAAAAACCCACCTGGGTCACAGTTGTCCTTTTGTGAGGGAAATCTGCCATCCTTACCTGGTCTGACCTACATGTGATCTCAACCACCTTCAGAAATGGCTGAACAATCGTTCCGTTTGAGGGCAATTAGGGATGGTCAACCAGCACTGGCATAGCCAGCGATACCCACATCCCATTAAAACAAACTCTGATGTAGACTACGGGCAAGATTTCCACCAGGGTCATATGGGGGTCATGCTGTTGTGGAGCCCAGTGGCCATTAAACACAAATTGACCAATGTGTGGTTTCGGGGCATTGCGCTGGAACTGCTGCTATCCAGTGAAGATGTGGACGGGATCGTGGTGCTGTCAGCCAGTGGGAGGCTGACCATGCTAGAATACACAGGGAGGGAGTCCTGAAATACAGGAGACCTGTCTCCACTTTCACTATCTTTAATGGGGTGGAGGCTGGTACAATTACAACATTTAAAACACATCTGGATGGGTATGTGAATAAGAAGGGTTTAGAGGGATATGGACCAATGCTGGAAAAAGGGACTACATTTATGTAGGATATCTGGTCAGCATGGATGAGTTGGACCAGAGAGTCTGTTTCCATGCTGTACAGCTCTATGACTCTAACTGAAAGGTATCTGAGCAGTTGGGGAAGGCGGGTGTGTGTGTGTGTGTGTGTGTGTGTGTGTGGGCTAGAGGGCCCTTCACTGACCTGTGGTTACTGGTTAAAGCTGTGAGGGGAGTGGGGAATGCTTTCTAAGAGGCCACGTGGAGGACTGGCTCCTGCTGCTGGGAGGTGCCGAGTCTGTTCCTGATCCCAGTGTAGGCCAACTGGAAAAGTCCCAAGAAACTTGTTCCCTGAAAGCTGCCACCCAGGTGGATACAGTTGTTAAGAAGGCGTATGGTGTGTTAGCTTTCATTAATTGAGGGATTGAGTTCAAGAGCCGTGAAGTTATGCTCCAGCTATACAAGAGCCTGGTTCAGCCACATCTGGAGTATTGTGTCCAGTTCTGGTTGCCTCATTACAGGAAAGATGTGGAAGCATTGGAAAAAGTGCAGAGGAGATTTACCAGGATGTTGCCTGGAATGGAGGGAAGGTCTTACGAGACAAGGTTGAGAGAGCTAGGGCTTTTCTCTTTAGAACAACGAAGGATGAGAGGTGACTTGATAGAGGTGTACAAAATGATCAGAGGTATAGATAGAGTGGACAGCCAGAGACTTTTTCCTAGGATGGAGGTAACTATTACGAGGGGGCATAGTTTTAAAGTGAGTGGAGATAGATGTAGGGGAGACGTCAGAGGTAGGTTCTTTACTCAGAGAGTGGTAGGGGTGTGGAATGCATTGCCGGAAAGGGTAGTGGACTCAGCCTCATTAGGGGCATTTAAGCAATTATTAGATAGGCATATGGATGATAGTATAAGATGGGGGTGGAGGTTAGATAAACCTTAGGTTTAGGGTAAAGGTTCGGCACAACGCCGTGGGCCGAAGGGCTTGTACTGTGCTGTACTGTTCTATGTTCTATGTTGTAACTCCTGACCCAAGGGCTGCCCATCACATCAGCCTCAGCGAAAATGGGCCAAGACTGGGAACGTGCCAGGAATCCTCTGTGCCCATCCGTATGATGCCCATAGTGGCATGTAGTGTTCCACATCTGAAGCAGTCTGTACAGACCTGGGCACCTCTCGTTGAGAGGGAGGTAGTGTTTGTGAGATGAGTGTACATCCAGCTGAACCTTAGCAGGAAGTAGACTATCTAGGAAGGTTGGACAAAATGGATTATATTCTCTGGAATGGTTAATAGTTAAAGGGTGATTTAATTGAGATATATTTTGGGATTTTGAGTGGAATTGAAAGAACAGAGGAGAAATATTTTTCTGTTAGTGAATGAATCCAGGCCAAAGGGACAGGATGTTCAAATCAGGGCCATTCAGGGAGAAATTCAGAAACACCTCATCAGACAGAGGATGGCTGCAATATGGAGCTGTCCCCCATTAAAAGCTCGAACTCTATTCATCATTTTAACTCAGTAGAATTTTGCTAGACAAGGGTATAAATGTGGGAGGGTTTGTGTGGTAAAGGGGTAATGACCCTACCTCTCAGCCAGAAGTCCCTGGTTCAAATCCCACCTGCTCCAGAGGTTGATTAGGGAATATCTCAAAAATGATGTGGAGCTGCCAGAAGTGTCCCATTCAGAAACAGATCTGCCATGATTGCACGCAGGATCCCGAGCTTCAGTGACATTCTGTTGGAGATGTGATACCCTGTAACAGACTAGCCAGCCAAGGGCAGTGAGAGGAGCAAATAAATTTGATTCTGTTTGAGTGCAAGTTGGTGGATTTGAACAGGAGCAATCAGGAGTCTATCGTAGAATCCCTACAATGCAGGAAGAGGCCCTTCAGCCCATTTTCTGCACCAACCCTCCAAAGAGCTTCCCACTGCACCCCACCCCCCCTTACCCTATCCCTATAACCTTGCATATCCCACGGCCAATCCACCCTAACCTGCACATCTTTGGACTGTGGGAGGAAACCGGAGCACCCAGAGGAAACCCACGCAGACGCGGGGAGAATGTGCAAACTCCACACAGTGACCCGAGGTTGGGATTGAACCTGGATTTTATGTACTGCCTGGATAAGAAGTATTTAAATGTGGGTAAAAACAGGAGAACATGGGGTCCAGATCCATAAATCAGGAAACATTATGATGCAGGTTAATAAAACCAAGAGAAACAGACCAAGCAGTGGTGTATCTGTCTACAGGCTGTAACACTAGCAGTTTTGGAACTTTGTGATCAGATCTAGTCCCAGTTATAGACAGTACACTGGAGAAAGATTTCCCAACATAAAACTAAGGGGCCCCACTACATCAGGAAAAACGAAACAGACTGGAAATGGAGAAGAAAAGGCACAGTAGTAATCATTGATGGAGGTGATTGGAAAGATGAAAGAGTTTGATAAGCTGTCAGCTGTAGAGACACTATTTCCACTTTCAGAGGAGGCCCAAACCAGGGTCATCAACATAAAATATTCCTAAATAAATCCAATGGGCAATTCAGAAGGTCATCTTCCATGGGTGGGGTAGGGTGCGAATGGGGGACTCGCTCCCACAGGGAGTTGGGGGATTGGGGGGACTCGCTCCCACAGGGAGTGGGGGGATTGGGGTATCGCTC